CCTATAAAATAAGCCAGCGGTATGATGCCAAGAAGGCTAGCCGGGAAGAGTAGACCAGGCGGAAGTGTAAAGGTGTGAATATGTAGTAGCTTCTGAAGAATAAGCCAGTTGAAGATTATGATCAAGGCGATGCCCATGAGTTCGATGAGAAAGATGCTGTTCCCGCCTCTTGAGTAGCGCCAGTATCGAAAGCCAACGGCAGAGTATGTGCAGAGTAAAACTCTGGGCTCTTGCTCCTCGTCCGATGGCGTTGAGCGGGCGTCTGAGTCAAAAGAAAGGGCGAGAGGACAAAGTCGAAAATGATGGATAAGATGCATACAGGTCTTGGCCATGGGAATGGTAAAGACGAGGGCCCAGAAGATGATTGAAACCAGGAACAACGGCGGGAGGATAAAAACGTTTAGAACAAGATGGAAAATAACGTTCCACTGGCCTCGGCCAAACATGGTACTCTGCCCCGTGTGTTGCCCTTGTCTAGGACCGAAGAAGAGATGTCCACGATTCAGGCTGCCATTCTGCCATTGTTCATACTCATGCATGCTGCGTCCCCGGTTGAGATTTTCTCCATCTTCAAGTCGCACAAGCTTTCCGAAAGGATAAATGATGTATCTGGCCAGGCTACACAAGACTTGTCCATATTCTCGCGAACCTGAAGTTGGACATGCCATACAGACAAGACCGCCCACGGCAGTCAGGACGGCCAGCCACCAGCCGAACAAGGTGGTCCAGAGGATGTTGAACAGCAAAGCCCACAAATTGGCCTTCTGGTCTGGTATGCTCTCATCGTGGTCAGGTGGTCCGTCTTGTTGGTACAGAGCGGGTTTCCATAGCCTGATTCCAAAGGGGTGTGTCTCGTTGATGGCTTGCTGGCGGAGCTTGAGGGTGAAGCTCCCAGCATCTGACTCGACCTCTGCATCATCTTGCGCAGGTAGTTCGTCCGGGGGGGCTTCTGTCAACTCCAACCTAGGTATTCCGGATGGAGCAGGGTGGTGACCAACGTAGTGATGTTCTGAGGGAACAAAGCCAGGCGGAGCTGATTTCCTGCGGTTTACAAGACGGCGTCTGAATGCATCAGCCTCGACTTCAGCGGTATCGTCGTCTGCAGAAAAGAGGGAGTCTCGACGGGGTACTGGTAGGGTTGTCGATACTCGACGAGGCATTGCGATGTGAGGTATATCAAATAAGGACTCTATCAGAGTCAACGAACTGCAGAGAGGCAAAGCATCAAAAATGCAAAGCAGCCACGCCTTTAGAATCCCTCATCGTTCCGCAAACTACGTACCACACTGTCACCGTCGACAACCCTCCTTAATCAGATGCTCTCCACAGCACGGGGCCCAGAACATGTTTTACCTACCTACGTACTCACCGATCAGCGTTGGAGGCGTTATGCTTGATGATGCTGCCGGTAAATGCCTCTCACTACCTCGCTGTACATTGGCTCGACACGCACTGATTTGATCATTCCGTCTCGAACCGAGATGGAGACCGGGAGGCCGCCAGTCGTAAAGCATGGATACGAATAGAGTATCCCGATCTAGACGCTTGACTTGATCCGACTGGGGGCCGGGAATAACATCTCCACTCAAGCTAATGTGTCGTGTGTATCAAGTAGTCGACATGCATATAAAACACCAAGATTTCTACCTATTGATACAATACAAAAGAACATTACCATGCCCCAATCTAGCATCGCCGCACGGCAACGCCCTTCCAAAAAATCCCTCATCCACCGCCACTGCATGTTCAAGCAACGCTCTCTGTACGTGTCGTCATCGTCATTTCTAATGTCGCACAACCAACGCAAACATTGTCCGGGGATGCCAAGCTTTGTGCCCCTGTCTGTCTTGTGTGTGCACAGGCCAAGGAATCGAGGTTAATTGAGGTACTCGTGAGGTAACAACTTCATGATTTTACACTCACTCGACCGAATATTCCGTGCAGACCTGAAGCAATCCCTACAACCAGTTAGTCTGACGCTTTCTGCTGTCCAAGCCCACACAGACGTTAGAATTTCAGGTCAGATTTATCCCTCATACTCCAAGTTCCCTCCTTCACAACTCTCATCTCCGGTGGGTGAGTGGATCATCATCTTGACCACGTTGCCGAGCTCCCTGTGACCGACGCTAAAAAGCTTACTCTTGGACCCTTGTCATGCTACCCGAGGGGAACAGGAAGCTTGACATGTGCCTCATGACGCAGCAGCAGCTTGTTTCTCTTTCCAATGAGGCGCAGCTCAGATCCTATATGCCCCTCGACACAGCCCCCCTCCCCTCTTGAGTTATCCGTCCCCTGGAGACTGTCAGGTATGTCGATCGGGTTACTACCGACAAAGTATTTCGTTTGTACCGTAGGAACCGTCTTTGAAGACAGGTATTGTTTGAGTGTCTAGGAAAGTCGCACATGTGCCTGATACTCTCAGGTGTCATTGGTAGAGAATAAGGCCGTACGTAGTACAGTATGATATTTCTCGTAGTGTACTCCAATTCACCTCCTGATCGACACTTTCTTAACACAACGGCAAATTTCTCCACACATCCCAATGCCAAGGTCACAGCCTCACGATCCGCTGATCCCCTTGGTTCACGAGAGGGGAAAGGTCAAGCGATGTAAACAATGAAAATCCCTCCGTGCCTAGTTGAACTATAGTCTCTACTCGCCTTTGCAAAGGACTGGCCTTGTACTCTGGCGTTACATCCATTCTTCCCCTTTGCTCATACGTCCGTGCAATGGACGACAGCATAGACGATGCCGACCTAGGCCCCGACAGCCACATTGACCAAGACGATAACGACATGCTCTTCTTTGAGGCGGATGAAAGTGTCGAGACGGATCCATGTCTTGACTTAGAGCAAGACCGCCGTGCACCTCCGGTTTTCATCACCATCCACCGGTAGGATTTAGTGGGCATATACATTCTCTCGAAACTGCGCTGACTTGTCAAGGATACGGAAGTTTATTCTCGCAAGCCTTGGTATGCTACCTGGTACGATTGCATCACATTGGCAAATTTTAACTGTCAAACAGATGATCCATATTCTCTGGATCATATGACTAGCCCAAGATTCAACAAACTTGTTATCCGCCCATTGGTCGATAGATTGTACGACGAGTATGACTACTCGATAGGTTCGCATCCCTCCTCCATTTATATATCTTCACCATGTCTACTAGCAGTGATGCATGTCCTCTGAGTCTCAAACAAACCACTGACTTACTATAACCAGTATATTGCCTTCTGGCAAACCGTGTTCAGTTCATACGAGAACAGTCCAGCGTCATCCATCAAAGCACCAGCATCGCCAGAGCCAACCTATGCGGGCTCTTAGCCATACGCATCATGCGCAACTTTCAAGAGGATAATCCTGGCCAAGGCGGCTTACTCACACTCTCCAAAATACTCGTTGAAGGCTTTGACCCCTTCTCGGGTGCCCCAGAGGATGTTCAAACTTCAGGTCGTTACCCTCAATGGCCAATCCAGAACCGCGGTGGACACGAAAGGAAGATCACAGCCCTCGAGTTGGCTATCATCTCTGAGAGCAAGAACTTTATCAGCTCGCCGGGTTGCCAACGAGTCATTGAGGCAGTGTATCAGGGGTGGATTGTGTACACGCCACTGTCGTTTGTCGACCTTTTACCGAACCACTTTGAGTATCAACCGGTCTCTCTTTACGATCCCCAGAAGGCGCCTTTGCTCAATCATCGTCGCCTTATCGTGCCGCGTTCTCGATATGCCATCGAGTTTATGCAATACATTGTTCTTCTTGTATTCTACATCTTGACAATGATGCACCGCGGTACCAACGCTCTGTGGATATACAAGACGCTCTTTATACTCTACGCGGCTGGTTGGGTCCTGCATGAGTTTGCTGCCATTATCGAACATGGATGGACCATTCACTCACAAAAGCTGTGGTCATTTCTGGACCTCACTTTCACGCTCATATTCACCATATACGTCATAATCCGGGGCTGCGAAGTCAGTATCGAGTCCATGGGAAAAGGCATGGCGCTCAACTTCTTATGCCTAGCAGCACCTGCTCTGCTCACTCGACTAGCTTTCAACATTCTTCCGGACCACATCGTCTTCATATCACTCCACGCAATGATGAAGGAATTCCTAATTCTGACCTTTCTGGCAACTTGGTGCTTCACTGGGTTCCTGCTGGCGCTGCAGTGGTTGGCAACAGGAGACGAGTCGACTACTATTCCTGGAGACTTTACCATCATCAAGTGGCTGCTATGGATCTGGTTTGGCCTGGATGGAACTGGCATCGAGGCATCTGTTCAGTTTCACGCTATCCTCGGACCAGGTCTCACGATCGCTTTTGCATTTCTCGGAAATACGCTGTTCCTCACTATTCTCGTCGCACTGCTCACGAACCGGTTCTCAGAGATTGTCACGTCAGAAACTGTCGAGATACAGTTTAGGCGTGCGGTGTTGACATTCGAAGGCGTCAAGAGCGATGCTATCTTCGCTTATCCGCCGCCTTTCAACCTATTCGCGCTTGCTATACTTCTTCCCTTGAGATTCTTTCTTTCACCACGAACCTTTCACTTCACACACGTTACACTTGTCAGAATATCCAACGCCCCGTTACTACTTGTCATTGGTCTCTACGAGAAGCATTGGCAATGGACTACATTATCAGGAAGGAAGTCGTCTAGACCATGGCAATTCACAGGTTTCTCACCTCATGGTGATATACAGTCTGTTTTCGAGGTTGAACCACCGCTGTATGTCCAACAGGAGGCTGACGAGCTGGATGGGCTAAGCGAAATGGGATTTTCGGACAATGATGCGGTGTCCAGGTTGTCGAGGGAGATGAGACAACCAGTCGTATTTTCACTAAGCAACGCAAAAGTAGGGAGCCCGAGGTAGACGAAAGTGATTTAGATTAAATACATTAAAATAACAAGATCTAGTAACAGAGCGGTGAGGCCATGATCTGAGGCCCAACCCCGGGCATCTAGTCCCCAGTTGGGTTCCGCCGAAACAAGACAACGTGGCCGAGTGGTTAAGGCGATGCCCTGCTATCATTGATCGTATAGGCATTGTGTTCGCACGCGCAAGTTCGAATCTTGTCGTTGTCGCTTTGCTTTTTGTCATTTGTCTCTCCGCTGCCCAAAGAGACGGCGATGAGAAGGTTGGTGTTGAGGTCGAGATGGTGGCGGCGGTGACCAATCCATCGACAAATAATAAGTCCTGGCTGAGAGAAACCTGCCTCTTAGTTTTTTACCAGTCCTCTTGATGGAAGCTTTAAGTCTAAGAGCAGCTTCACACCTGTCAGACAGGACGGTGTCAAATCTATCTCGGTAAAAACTAGTTCACTAATGTTTTCATTCAGTTATTTCTAGTGCGTTTCTAGCCTTACTAGTTCTTGATCTTGCTACAAGCCGAGTGATGTACGGAAACAAGCCAGTTGTCAAAGGACGTTAGCTTTACCTACCTATGGGTCGAGACACCAACATCCCCGTGAAAAGTCGAGTTATTTCATATGAAACGCACCTTAACCACGTAGACAAAAAAAAAAGCGAACAAATCGCTACGTAAACCCTCTTGCAAAACTTGTAAATTGATTAGTGCTCCTGGTTCAACCAAGTGTCCGTCTTGGTGACTCCGGCGACCGTCCGAGAGTCAAGAGGAGCCAAACGCTATTCAAGCATTGCCAACTCATACACATACCAGCATCTCTCAAGCATCAATCTACCCTCTCAAAGTCGAGTTGTCTTCCTACCCCCTGCACCGGACCTGTGATGACCCGTCTTTGCATGGTCCCGCATCAACCAACCACAAGACAACGTGGCCGAGTGGTTAAGGCGATGCCCTGCTATCCTGCATATCTAGGCATTGTGTTCGCACGCGTAGGTTCGAATCCTGCCGTTGTCGCTTTGTTTTTTGCTCTTTTTGCCTCTCGACATCATTATCTTCTACTCGCCGTGTTGTGGTGGTCATCTCTCTTGATCTTCGAGTCGCAAGTCTTTTTGCGGATGTTGCTGTCTTTTTCGCGCTCCAAGCTCACATTTTGTAGTCTCGATTAACACTTCCCTCCAATTTCCCCATGCGCCACTCATCAAATGCCTCGCTTGCATGCTTGGCTTCATTTTCGCTTACAATCTACCGCCTCCGTACCCAAAGTTCCCCAAAACGCCAACGTCCGGTTCTGAATGTGGGGCCGTGTGGGGCTCTCCGGCGCCGACCGCCGGACCTAGGTGAGACGAGCTCCGGTCGGTTTCGACAAGGCTTTCCCGGAAACGCCCCCTACAACGCGGTCGAGGAATTCTTGGGTTGCTTTCAAGGCTATTTATCCGAATGATATGCAGGCCGAATTGCTTCCATTCATAAACGCTTGGATAGCGATGACGGTGTTCCTTTTACGACTAACAGGACAGCCGGCCCCGGGTCCCTGGTCGCGGTAAATTCTTGTCCAAATAGACCGAGCATATCTCCAACGCTGTTATCGTGGAAGAGGTCGAGATAAGCCGGTAGCGGCCTCTGCCCTGCATTTCTCCAGCCGACGCATCGCAACCTCTTAGTCCCGGGTAGCCTCGTTGCGACGGCAAGGTTTGCTTCGCGTTCGTTACACTGGAGCATGGAATGTCACATCAGTGTTCGGATCCGCGGGTTAATCATGAAAGAGGACAGAGGAATTCAGAGCCCTGAGGCGGTTCTGCGGGCATAAGCAGTCCAACAGTAACGAGACAGTGCGGATGACGTCCAGGTTCTGGTATCACACAGCTCACTGAGCCAGTTAGACGTATGACGACATCGCAACTTCATCCAAAGGAGACCACTTCGAAGCAAGACACTGGTTCATTTTGTTTGTTATACAACATCTCGGTACACTTAATATACACATCATTTCTCCACCATCTTTTACAAGTCAAGACTCCCCAATCCCTGACCGAATGTCCCGTAATGCCTTTCCCATCCCAAAATGCTATTTTTCTATAAGGCGACTTTCTCTTCCTCTCTCCCTTCTCAGTCTGAAGATGACGTGACTAGCAGACTTCATCCCCTCCGTTAAATTTCGCCGTAACACAAAAAGATTACAAGACATTAATTAGTGGAGATGTGCTGGCACCTCTTTGGGGGCTTCTTAGGCCTTCTTCTCGGGGGGTTGGCTATTGCCGAACATGCCAGAGAAGGAGCCCATCATGCTGTTCATAGCCTCCTTCTGGGCCTTCTCCATCATCTCGGCCTCCTCCTTGAGCCACTTCTCACCATTCTCTCGGATCTGCTTCTCGAGCTCCTCGTAGTTCCTCTGGCCACGCTCACGGGCAATGTCTTGCAACATCTTGCCCTGGGCAAAAGCCTCGGTGGGGTTCGGCTCGCCCTCGGGGTTCACCATCATGCTCATGTTGCTAGGGTTCAGGCCGAGCAAACTTCCCAAGGCGCCAACACCAGAGCTGTGCTTGTGCTTGGCAGCGAGTTGCTTGGCGTTGAACTCCTTTCGGGCGATGGCCTCACGACGGGCAAACTCGGTAGGGATGTGCTTGCCCTCAAAGGACTTGATGACCTTGCGGACATCCGAGTACTGCATGGTGTGGATGTATTCGAGGAAGGGGATCAGACCAACGAGCTCCTTGTCACCGGGCTCACCCTTCCAGGGCTTCAGGACAATGGCGTTCTCGGGCTGGTTGCGGACGTGCTTGGCGTTGGTGTCGATAATGATGACCTTGGAGAGGTCACGGTTGAGGTAGGACAGGTCCTGAAAGGTCAGCATAAGTTGACGTCAAACGGAGGGGTTAAACATACCTTGACGACCTCGCCATCCTCAAACTTGGTAGCCTCCCTGTAAAGAGGCCAAAGGATGAAGCGGAAGGGATCCAATTTCCTGAGAAGAGGCTCACCAGTGGCGAAAGGAACAGTAGTGAAGAGAACCAGCTCGTAGTACTGGCTGAGGTATCGGATGAAGTAGTCCATGCCGGGTCGCTTAGCGATTCTCCAGCCGTGCTCGCGAGTCCACTCGCTATGCACAAGGAGGTTGTCCAAGCTCAGGCAGAGGGTGTAAGGGCGCTCAAAGGAAGGATCGGGGTCGGGAAGCAGCTTCTCGAATGAAGGTTCCTGATAGTAGGTGACAGACTCGGTCATTCGGGCCTTGGCACGCTTCCACCAGAGACCGAGACCAGGACCATTGGGAATATCGGAATGACGATCAGCCTCGATGGTATCCTCCCAGTTGCGACCCATGTATAGTACGGCAAGAGTTCCACCAGCAGCGGTCGCAACGAGCATGAATCTTGTCCACCACTTGCGGTTGCGATCCGAGGTTGAGACATATTCCGATCGCTCCCGTCCACCACGACCACCCGCGCTTTCTTCCTCAAGTTCCTGTAGAGCCTGCGATGGCTTCTTCTTATCACCCTCCATCTCATATTCCAACGTCGAAGGAATACCCTGGGTCAAGTCGGGGAGTTTGTGGAAAGGTATTTGTTCGCCCTCCTTCGGGGCCTCGGGCGACTGCTCTCCGGCCTTGTCGACATTCTGCTCGGAAGACTTGGCGGCATTCTCGTTCGCTGCGGCATCGGCATCGTTCTGGGGTTGCGCAGGCTTCTTGTTTGTCTCATTGGGAGGCGATTGGCTTGAAGGGCCCTTGTCCTTGGAGTAGGCTCGAAGCCACGGCGACACAAAGACGGGAGCTGCTGCTGCGGGACGGATTCGGAGAGCAGGCGATGCGGCGGGCCTAGACAGACGAGCTGCCGTCAAGCCCAAGCGCGAAGCCTGGGCCACTCTAGACAGCATGGCTAAGATTGAAGAAGGAGTCCCGGATAATACCACGAGAATTGGGGTGGCTGCTGGCGCGGGAGTCGATGGCGAAGCGGACTCGACTTCAATGGCGTAGCTTGACGAAGTTGGTCTGATTGCTCCGCCGTCGCACGCACCGCGCCCGTCGGCTGTGGAAAAAAAATCGGACGGCGGGCAAGTAGTGGGGCTTTGGCTTTAGAGAGAGTCGCCGCGGATTAGCCGGGGTCACGGACTTTTAGATTAACCGATGGCGTCATGCCTTGATTGGTGAGACCTTCACGTGAGGCCCTGGTCACGCCCCCATCATGAAGCAGATTCCGATTCCCCGCCGTCCCCTCCATGATGCTCATGTCATCCAGTGAAGGCCCCTGCTCACTCTCCCCCAGGTTCGGTTCATGGCGCCAATGCCCATCTTCCAACGTTGAAGGCGACATTGAACGGCGGCATGGCCTTTCCAATTTGTAACCCGAACCCTCACCTCCTTCCCCTCACTGTGCCTCACGATCCAACCATCTTCTGAGTGGACGACAAGTCAAAAGAATTGACTTTGCTGGTTCTTGAACCAATTTTCTCTCTAATTCGCCACGACCCCAATTCCCGCTGATTATCCCGACTACCCGAGAGACACCATGCTGGCCGTGGCCGCGTCCGCTGCCTTCTAGAGGGTGGTCTCCTTGTCGTTGAATGTTACTACGCCATGGCACCACCCTCTATGATAAGCCTCGTTCCTCGAGACCGACCGCAACGACCCTGGCGACCTGCTGAGACCATATCATCATCTTAATTTGCGACCGTTGTCATTGCGCAAGGATTTGATACAAGCCTCTTTACCCTTTTTATAGACCGATTCTCCTCGCCACCTCGCCTAGCAGATTCTACACTAGAACCGCGTCACGACTCTACCACCTCACAACATGGCTCGACGAACGAGTAAGGGTTCTGTTTCTCGCCCGGTGGGCACGTTGCGCATTGTTATGCCTTCGTCTTCCAGCCGGGCGCAGACCGCACCCGCGAATCCGACCTCTACGAAGCCCGTCACCGAAGAGGACGTGAACAAACTCTCCATCGCCGACCTGACCCTCGATACTCCTCTCATCCCCCTAAGGCCGAAACGTCGCGTTCCTAGAACACCATTCCACTTCCTATCACTACCCGCCGAGGTCCGCATCCAGATATACATCTACTTCTTCAATGACGTCGACACAGTCCTCGACCTAGGACCACAAAACTACAAGCAAGTGCACAAGAAACTTGGTCTCATGAGAGTATGCAGACAGGTTCATGATGAGGCAACATTTGCCTTTTACAGCACGCGCACCTTTCGCTTATTCCCTACCTTTCCCGG